AGATTCACTTATGTCTCTATTTTGATTTTCGGAAAAGAAGGAACAGAAAGTTGAGTGAAAGTTATTAAAGGATTTCAAAATTAATTTTGTTCAAGTCTAAAGGGGTGTGCAACAAACAGGCCCTAAGATTTTATTCCTTGGACATTTCTACCTTGTCCTTACTCTTGTGATTGAATAACTCTTTCTATCCTCTAGTAATATATTATTTCCTAGCTGTGCACAAGGCAATAAATGTTGTCAGATTCCGACCGGATAAAGAACCATTTCTATGACTGGGCCGTGGACAAACTGTTCCATTGTTAGAGTAAGATACTAAGATTGTTTATTCATTCAAATAGAAGATACAAAAAAATATTACTTGAGATTATCTTTTTTAAAGTTATATTTTGCATAAAAACTAGGCATAAAACCCATTAAGATAATTAACTGAGGTAAATAAATTTTATGTGATACGGTTCACTGTGTAAAACTCCACTTGATGTGCTAAGAAAAGTTCGAATAATAGACATCATTCAAGTAGAAAGAGGATGTCTAGTTCTACTAGGTATGAGCTGAGGTGATAAAATTTTCGGGCTTGGGCCATTATATTTAATAATCTACAAGTCATAGGCCTGGAACCTGACATGGGCTTGGGCTATGGCCCTTACTATAGGTTCTTAGCCCGGCCCCGCCCATTATCACTTCTACATGGAGTTCACATCTTCCGATAATAATACCAATTCTAATGATGTCATCATCGGGACATCGATGTTCTCAATATACGGCGGGGATGTGCTGTGGAGCAGGCCCTTGTAGGGCGGAGATGTGATCTCCTCTACGTGTGAACAATTACTAACTAATAGGAAATGAAAACTTAGTGGGTCAACTCTACCAATCAAATAACAATAGAAATACCTTTTAAATAACCAAACAATCATCATGAAATATTTATAGAGCTCAAGAATATCAATCGGCAAACAACAGTTTAGACATACAAACTCACACTATAGAAGTTAAAGTAATGATGCCATTATAATCATTTGGCTATGAGGTATAACTTGATTGAACTTCATTGAAAGATTCCATGGATGATTGTCAACGTAGGGGGTGTTTTCCAATGTGAATTCTTTTTCTTGTTGTGACTTGTGGGTTCTAAAAACAAATTAAACCATCTGCTTTCAAAAGAAAAGAAATTGATTCTTAAAACAATAACACAGAAACAAAGGGGTCTTGAATTTCTTATTTAGAAAGCATGCTTTCATCTAACGTCTCTTATTTCCTCAAAGAAAAATAAATAAAAAAAAAAAATCTAAAGGTCTCTTGTCACGCTCCCTAAATCATATAATATATATGTATTACAAGATTGTTGTTCCTTTTTAGAAACCATTATTTTGATGGTTTCTGAAACATAAGTATTTTTTTTTTAACAAAATCAACTAACTTTTGCTTCTCCAATCAAAAGTAGAATTTAAGAACTTGTTTCAATTTTCTTTACTGATATGGCGATTTAAAAAAAAAAATGAAAACAAAAGCATTCATGTTATATATGAGACCAACTTACTATTGTTAACATAGAATGAAAAGCAATACCTGTGACAATATATAATAGGAATGTCAATGGTTTTAACATATACTAGTCAGTATCCATGCGATACAAGGTATTTATTTAACAAATTTGAAGCAAAAGGAGTTATTTGAACATTTAGCCTGGGTAGAGCAAGTCTTAGTCCAATTAAAGCCTTAATAAGAGCACTATGGTGATAAGATAATTAAATTGATTTTGTAATTAATATAGGCATTATAATAATTTTAGATCAAATGTGAAGGGAGGTTTTTGCAGAGGTCAAATTTTAGGGGAGRTTTAAGTAGTTTACCCATTAATCCAAGTTAACTCTTTTAATTAATAGTAATTTCTATTAAATATTATTTTCTTAATAAATTCTATTAATTTTTAATGATAATAATTTTTTACAACAATTAATAGTGATTATTAAATATCATTAGCAGTAGTTATCTAAAGTATGACTTGCAACTAGGCGAGGCACCCCCTCCCTGTCCCTACCCCATAGCTAAGATACCCTAYCCATGCAAAGTCTGGTGGTAGGGTGGGGGCAGAGCACCCACTCCCTATGGGGAACAAGGATCTCCAAATTTTCTCTGCTCTAAGGCAACTGCCTAAAAATATATCTAATTTGGAGGTATTTTAGAAATAGGATTATGGGAATTTGGGGGTATTTTAGGAATTGGATATGGCAATATATGAGTATTTTAGAAATAGAATTATGGGATCTTATGATTTTAGGAATTTTAGAGAAATTCAAGGGTATTTTAGAAATTAATATTAAGCATAGGGGCATTATACTAATTTACCATCAGGTTTGGGGTAGGGATGGCAATTTTCCTTGTCCGTGCTAGGTACCCATCTTCCCCCAACCCGATAAAGTCACTAAGTGTAGATTGCCTTAGTAGGGATGGGATCGATACGTGGATTGATAGTGATACTTGACTAGGAACGAGGATGAGGATGGGGAGTGAATTTCTTGCTCCGCCCCAACCCCGATTATATATATATATATCCTAATTTTAAGTAAATCTATTTTCTAAAAAGAATTTAATTTAGAAATTCAGGGGATTCGGGTCCCCAATGAGGAACTCGTCTCTATTGGGGATTGGGATGGAGGGTCATTTCTATCCCTAATGAGGATTAGGGTCGGGGATGGCGATTTATTTTAAAGTCAGGGTCAAGGGTTAGGAGTGTGGTCCCCACCTTGTACCCGCCTCGTTGCCATTCCTAGTGTTGAGCAAGTTCAAGGAATTATATACAAACCCCATCCCCAGTTCAAGAAAAAAATATTTTCCCATCCCCGCCCATCCCCATTTAAGATCAGGGAATACCCACCCCATTCGGGGTGGGGCAAGGCCTTGGTTTTATAGGAAAAACTGTCATCCCTAACCTAAACTAATATTAGCTAATTAACTTATCCAAATTAATATAAGCTAAATTATTTTCCCATATATATTAATTAATTATCCAAATTTAAGTATTTTATGTATAAATTTAAATCAAATGAGGTACATCCCAATGACCATAGGGCAATCTGTTATAAAGGAGGAGCATTGTAGCGTGATATAGGTTAATCGATCAGTGTGATGACCCTATGACAAACATTCTAACCAAATTCCACTCTGGTTTTTTAGGTCCACGTTGGAGCATAATGATGTTACTACTGTAATTATTCCACAGAGGGAGTTGCTTAACTTGATCCTCCGTGAATTGAACGCACAGAATGCAGAGTGAATTGTGAGTCAGGAACGGCATCTATCAAGCAACTATGGCCTTCAACATACGTGGACACGAGGTATCATTTACCGGAAAATTCCGTCCATTGCCAGGAGCTAGCATACAAACAGTGGCTACTACAGGAATCTGCCACATCAAAGAAGCCCACCGCGTCCGTGTGGTGGATGTCACATACCCAGAATACCACCACGCAATTAGGCGGTGTTGGAACCTGCAGAGAGACATGGGTGCTTTGATGCAAGAGAATTTGGCTTTGAGACAACAGAATTTGGAACTTGGACACGAGGTCATAGAGATGAGGGCGCGGGCTGAAACCAGAGTATCGAGCAACAATATGTAACGTGAAGATAACGGTCCTCGTGGTCGCCATCAGTGCATTTGGTACTGCGAAGAGACTAATCGTACCTATTGGCCATATATTTTGATCAATAGTTGTATCATCCCTACCGCCTCCCACCCCCACCCAACCTAATCACTATTGTAATAGCATGGAACCACCCCCACTAGGGGTGTTAGGAACCTTCCATTTCCTTTATGCTAGTATAACATGTATGTGGAAATTTTAATGAAAGTAGTTGTGTATTGTTGATACGTGCCTGCACTTTACACATGCCAATTGAATTCCCTTATGTTTATCTATATGTCTATGTGCCAAAAATATAGTATAGGCTTGCACATCACACCTAACAATTAAATTTACTTCACTTTATGAGGTAATACCGCACCCACCTACTACCACTCACCCGCTGAGTATCTCGACACCTTCTRGCCGTCCATCGGCCTGATGGCCTGGCCCGACAATGGAAAATAGTGGTTCTCAAAAGCATCGTTTCTTACCGCTGGGCATCCCCCTTGGCCTAGGCCATTTCCACCTCCTCTAGAGACGTCTAGGAGACCTCTCTCCACCCCATGGAAGTGGTATCGCTGCCCATCTACACCCCCCCCCTGTCAAGGACCGCATGTTGAAAATAACAAAATCACCGAGAGGCCGCTTCGACGGGTGCAGAGGGGTTCGCTAGCCACCAAAGCAACTCCCTCCTACTGTCACTCACCCGCCGAGCATCCCAACCCCCTTCTAGCCGCCCATCAGCCCGATGACCTAGACCAACAGGAAACAATGGTTCGACAAAAGCATTGTTTCCCACCATCAATCTTCCCCATTGGCCCGGGCCATCTCTACCTCCTTTGGAGACATCTAGGAGACTTCTCTCCACCCCGTGGAGGTGGTATTGACACCCATATACCCCACACCCCCCTCTAGGACAGTGTGCCAAAAATGGAAAAATCACCTAGTGGCCAGTCCAACAAGTGCGAAAAGGTTCGCTAGCCACCAAACCCACACCCTCCTACTACCACTGACCCACCAAGCATCATGACACCTTCTGGTCTCCCATTAACCCAATGGCCCTACGCAATAGTGGGAAATGGTGGTTCTACAAAAGCATTATTTCCCACTACCGACCTTTCTTGTTATCCCGAGGCATCTCTACCATCTTTGATGACGTCCAAGAGACCTCTCCCCACACCGTGGAGGTGGTACCAGCGCCCGTGGCCGCTCAGTGGCCGCTCCATTAGCCTTCCCCGTGAACCTAGGCTTCTCTACCTTCCACGGCAACGTATCTTCAATGAATTTACAAATATTTCTCAGTGAACAAAAAAATCTTCTGAGCAATTTATAATTATATATTTATATTTAAAAGTCCAACATAACTATAAAAAGATGCCAAAATGGTTCACCAAGATGAAAATGAATGGGGGGGAGTCTTTTAACACAATCGTAAAAACACTGAACTAACGTATTCACCACTTATGATAAACGATTTCCATAAGACCAGTGTGAGGAGAATAATAACAAAAAGAAGAAAAACAAGTTGCCTAGCTGTAGTCATCCCTTCAATAGCTAACTCATAGACTGATTTCATGGACTCAATCTGCCATATGCAAACATCGACTATTTTCTCCACATTTCCAAGGCGTTCCACAACATCGCCATGACTATTTTCCAATATAACTTCATTTGACCAACCTCGAGGAATCATCCACTCAAAAAATTTGTAACCGCCAGTAAAATCGCTTTCAGTCGTTGGGTTGTCCAGCACCTACTCCTGCAAATGCAATACATGTCACTGAAAATATTACCTCAAATTTTAATTGACAACTATAAAACAACTTCTACGGGTTATTCAGATTTGTTGTAATTCGAAGGATGCATTTTCGTTTGCAATAGCAATACTTAGTATCATACTACAAACTACTTAGGGATTGATTCCCGACACTCTGTTGGCTATTCATACATACAAATGTTCAATAACCCATGGTAACAACATCCATATCTTAATTAACATTAAACAATTCATTTTCATTAGCACTGAACTAAGCAATATACAAATATTCATTTACAGAGGTCCTTACGACAATCAACCAAGGAAAAAAATGTAACATAGTAAATTACTTGTGGTCGAACAGTGCCAACAAATAGGGATTCTGATCTCCAATCCGGTGCACCGCAAATTAACAAGATTGGATGAAGGGGTTGGACGGTTAATCACCGATACTGACTGAGAATGACGTGTAACAGTGCAACAAGCTAGGGAAGCCTTTGCACGGTTGGCCAATGGAATGCTAAACCACCTGAGTGAGCCGAAAACAAACGGGCATCCAACCGGAGTGAGTCGGAAACACGAAGACCTCCAAGGCGATTGAATGCAAGGGCCTAAGAATCCTTCCAACAGCCGCTAAACCCAACTTCGAGCGTCCTTTCAATGGTCAATGTAGGGTGCCTTAGATGGACAATGAATAGTAAATCGATGCTCAAGCTTCCTCCGAATGGTGAACGTTGAGTGTCGTCCACCATCAGTGACCGGTGGACACAAGGGGATCTGAGAATGTTTCAACATGGGGAAGAAGACGGTCGGGAGCAACAATGAAGTCGTCGTTTTCAAGTAGAGTTCTTTTCTCCCTTGTTGAGCATGAAGAAGAAGACGGTGGGGAGCAATTTACTGGACGACAAATGGAGGAGCACGAGGAAGAAGACAGTCATTGTTTTCGAACGGAGGAACAAAGAAGTCGATTTTCAAACAGAGTTCTTTTCCTGTTTCGAATTGCGTTGAGGGGTATAACGGTATAATATTATTACTATTTTGCTTACGTGGGGGGAGGAGTTGAAAAACAAATCATATTTTTTGGATGGAGTCAACGAAAGTTTCGTATTGTGTACTAAGCTAATTGATATTTCAAATTCTAAGGGGGAGTTAACCGAAGAAACCCCAAAAAATAAACTATGAATGTGCTAAGCTCAAAAAAACCTTCCCCCAAAAACTTCTTGATAAAGAAGGATGCAATGAAATAAAGCTTAGTGGATTCCGCAGTTAATCAAGAAAGTGTTATCAATGATTAATTTTACTATAAAATGAAGATCTATAGCTTCAAAACAAATAAACAATGTAATAACAAATGTTGTAAGGCCCAATAGAGATGAACTCTATTAGTTTCTGGGATCAGCTTGTAGTAAGCAAGATGATGTTGCAACTTTTGTGGGGTGGGGGGGGAGAGAGAGAGGAAAATGAAGATCTATAGCTTCAAAACAAATAAACAATGTAATAACAAATGTTGTAAGGCCCAATAGAGATGGACTCTATTAGTTTCTGGGATCAGCTTGTAGTAAGCAAGATGATGTTGCAACTTTTGTGTGTGTGTGTGGGGGGGGGGGGGGGGGGGGGGGAAGAGAGAGAGAGAGAGCTTCAATAAAAGATTGGCATCATCAACTTGTTCGTGTGTCTCTTAAAGTTGTTAGAATAATTATTTCTAGACATGGTCTTCCTTATTGTGGGTCATTTAGACACGGCCATCGTTTGAGTCTACCATGTCTTCTACTGTCACTTCTTCTCCATTAGAATTAGTTTTTTCTGATGTGTGGAGACCTGTGTTAAGACCGATGGCCTTACCCAACAAAGGGGTGAATTGAATATAGCTTAAAAAATTAAACTATGAATGTGTTAAATTCAAAACCCTTCCCCCAAAAAGTAAAGCTCAGCCTTCTTGATTAAGCAAGATGCAACAAAATAAGGCTCAGTTAGCGGATTCCASAGTTAATCAAGAAAATGCTCTCAATGATTAATTTTACTATTAAATGAAGATCTACAGTTTCAAAAAAAAATAAACAATGTAATAACAAATGTTGTAAGAGTTAGCAATTAAATAGATATATAACAATAAACACAAATAACAACTACTTAAAAGTGCATAGCAGTTGAAAAAAAATATAACAAAGAAATGAACAAGCTGCTATGAAAGGTTAGTAAATTTGTAGTTAAATAAAGAATAAACAATAAATGGAAGTAACTACAAAATGTAAATGGCAATTGAAAGTAAATAAACAAAAATATAAATGGCAACTACTTAGAAGAATGTGTTTATTTGTGTAGCCAGAGGTAAAGGACTAGCCACAATAGAATAAGTGAGAGATGGACTAAATATTCATGATAATCAACTTAAGATTCAAGCAATTGAAAGGTTGCTACCATAATCTCAAGGATAAGATAACTACTTAAAGTAAATAATACAGTTGAACAATAAATAAAATAATGAAAGTAAACAACTATAAATGTAAAGCAATTAAACAAATGGTTTAGTAAGCAATAAAATACCTAAACTGCTAAACCAATAAGTTAGTGCACTTAATAGAGTTAATGAGTTTAGTAGCATAAGACCAGCACTAAGAAATTTGTATCTTGCATATCAAGAGAAGATAATTTAGTGCACTTAGATAAGGTGCAATAACAGCAAGATAATCAAATGTTCAAACTTTTCCAATTAGCTAAAGGAGCTAGTAATGTTAATAGCAAAGTAACTCCAAAAATTTTAACAAAATAAAGAAAGACAAAGCAAATAAAGCATAGAGACAAGGTACACAAGATTTACAGAAGTTTGACAAAAACCCTGCCTATGTCATTTGCCTTAGGCCACCCTTGGGAATTTCCACTAATTAGCTAGACTTATGGGTGCCAACAAAAGCCTTACAACTAGCAAGACTTCTAGGTGACTGCAATATCTTAATCAATAGGACTTCTAGGTGCCTACAATATCTTAACTAGTAGGACTTGTGGGTGTCTACAATACCTTACACAATAAGACTTGTGGGTGCCTCCAATACCTTACAATTGGGTTTTCAAGTGCCAACAAGACCTTAGTGTTAAAACTAGAACATCTACCTACACTCAAGATAATATAAATGTAGCACAATGAAAAGTTATAGCAAGAAATCTCTAAATAGGCAGATATAGCAATATACAACACAAATGTACTCAATTGCAAGGGTTTTTCTCTAAATGCTCAACTCGATGAAGAAACTCACAATAGATGGGTGAGTTGTACAAGCTAAAAGGGTTATCAGTTTTTCTCACCTTTGAAGTAACTAAAGCTTATTAATCTCTTCAAAAATGACTCTTTCTAACTTGCTCTCATTAAAATACAACTATACACTATTTACAATGATAGCACAGGTTCCTTTTCTCTTGTTTGGCTTGATTGAATCAAGTTAAACACCTATATTTATAGAGGAATTAAGAGAAAGTGATCATTTTTCAGTTGTTAAAGGGATTTTTCTCATAGTAATGATTCAAATTTTCTCTAACATGGTAAAAGGCTTACCAAAGATATATAGCAATAAGCGTTTAAGCCTTCAAGTGGTCAAATATCTCTAAAGTAGTTGACTACAAATTTTGGTAGTCATTTAATACAAGGGAGAATTTTTTTTTCTCTTCTAATCAATTGGTTCCTCTTATCAGTTAATTGATAACATCTTGAACTAGGTGTGTCTAAGTTACTCGACTATGCATTTTTGGGTAGTCAATTACTTCTCTCGAATAGGGATTTCTATGCCTCGACTATTATAGGTAATTGACTATGGCTTTTCGGGTAGTCAACTGTCTCAAGGTCATGTAAAATCATGCATCAGCTATCATGGTTAATCGACTATATATTTCTAGGCAGTCAACTATGTTTCTTGGTCAAACAAATCATACCTTAACTATCATAGTTAGTTAACTATACATTTCTGTGTAGTTGACTATGCAATAGAGCCTAGGCAATCCTACCTTACAAACAACCCAACACTTAAAAACTTTGAAAATATGTATCCAAAGGTTTAGAACTTCTTCCTTTGGCTTTTAAAATATATTTTTGAGATTCTAAACACTTGTTTAAGCCTAAGAAAGCCTATGAACCAAAGTTGTTCTAACCATTGGTCTTTAAGGTTGCCTAAACCGAGTTTAGTTTTGTTGAGCATCATAGAAAATGCATCTTATGCAATTGGTTACATCAAAATCCTAAAGACTCTCACTTTTAAGCACAACTTAATGTAATCTTCCTCCTTAATGAGTTGTAGCAAGCAACCTCTTGAGAAATCCAAATCTTTTGAGTTCTTGTAGAGCCTTGTCATGCTTGAATTTTCTTAGAGCTTCCTCAATAGAAAGACTTAAAGATGGTGTAGAGAACATAAATCTCAAGCTACTAATTAAGTAGAACTTCCATTCTTCATCTTTCATGGCAAACATGTTTTAATACAATTGTGGTTCCGAGAAATTTATTTAAGACAGATGCATACTTAATCACACCATTAGTACTCTCAATGAATTTGTTATCATCAAAACACATAGAGTCAATAACCTACCATAGTTTTGTCCAATAAAGGTTGGAAGGGGTACAAATACAAATATGTACAGTACAAATATATGCAAAATAATACAAAATACAAACTTTTGCACTCTACATTTTTGTATTTGTACTCCTTCCAGCCTATGTCTTGTTTATGGATGCTTATTCACAATTTTCTTGGATTCATCCAATTCAAAGGAAATGTGATGTTTTTGATACTTTCCTCAAATTCAAAAGACATGTTGACAATTTATTTTCCACTAAAATAAAAATGTTTCAAAGTGATTGAAAAGGTGAATATCGTTGTTTATCTCAATATTTGAATGGTGAAAGAATTTTGTATCATGTGAGTTGCCCCCATATTTATGAGAATAATGGTAGTGTCAAGAGAAAACATTGACATGTTATTGAGTCCACTCTCCCCAACCCCTTTTAAGCGAAGGCAATAAAGACAATAGTTTTTCTTATTTACTAGTTGCCAACATTGGGTCTTGGTAATCTCTCACCATTTGAGAAATTGTTCAGTTGTGTGCCTGATTATTCTATATTGTGTAGCTTTGGTTGTATTTGATATCATCTACTTTAACCATATATTATTATATACCATGCCATGTTTGATGAACACCAATTTCCTAGGATTTTATAAGACTCCTCTTCACCTATGTCCGTACAAGTTGAGGTTGTTCCTCTACCTTCTACACGGACCGTTATTGAATTGCAAGAACCTTCCCTCTCCACCTAACATTGATGCTACTTCCTCTCCTCAAAATGGTAATACAACAAATCATATAGTTCCAATTGCATCTTCTACTAATGACTAGTTCTAATAATGATGGGGATGTATCTCACCCCGGTTGGACCGCCATGCAGATATTGATGTAAAAGACACCTAATTAATCGATCAAATCAATCGATGTGGAGAACGAAGACATGGCATGTTGCTATTCGCCAAGGAGTACATTTACGGTGCATGTTGCAAACCTCAAATGAATAGGGACACATGACGAACACCAAGCCCAACTTAACCTCAACTAGAGGTCATCCCAAAGCACACCACATGTCTCGAAAAGCGAGGAGCACAGCGGCACCCCTCATAGGTATTAAGGGCACACCACATGAGGTAGCTTCTTCTACTTCCACTTCTACAACTTGCTCTCTTAAGCTCTTCAGCTCTACTCGGCTATGACCAGCTCGTTCTCATTAGCTCAACATAGCCAGCCTCTTTCTTTTGCTAACTTGAGTGTCGAAGTACTCCCCAAGGAATCACCTCGAGGCCCCACACTTCGGTGTTTGCGAGTCATCAGATCTAATTCAGCTCGTTCAACTCACTAGGACACCTCATTTACTGCTGGTCCACCTTAGTTCGGATAACATCAGATTGACATCGCCTGTGAGAACCAACATAAAAAGCTTCCAGTCTCGTTGCATTCTTTTTCTGTGACCTGACGATGATGCCTCCAAAGAACATCTCTGACCATTCAAACACCCACTCTCCTTCTATGGGACCTCACTCCGAGCGCGTCCCTCCGCTTTACGAGTCCCAAAACCAACCTGTGGCACAAGAGCAATTCAACTCCCTCCAACAAGTCGAAGACCTCATCGCCTTACGAGCTCTAGGGTAGCACATCCCAGCACCCCAGGTTCCTCCAACAGACAAAGGGCATAACAAGGACACTAAGGTGCATAACAAGGACACTAAGGTGCCCTTGTTGATCCTCCAACAGACAAAGGACCCCAGGTTCCTCCAACAGCATGCCCCCTCATGTTGATCCTCCTATTTAGAACCCCAAAGGGCATAACAAGGACACTAAGGTGCCAAACAATCCAGTCCCAACAAGTGTATAACAAAAAGAGGAGATCAATGGCATAGGGAGGCTCAGGTGTTGGGGATATTGCGGAAGTGGTTGAAGTAGGGGAGAATCGGAGATTGGTGAGGGAGTTAGGGGGGATGTCGAAGAGCAAGTGGGCGAGGAAGAAGCAGTAGGGCATGTGAATTTGGTGAATGGAAAAGTGGATATTGAGAACCTGGTTAGAAGGCTGGTGGAGGTTGGAAAATCCCTTGGTCTCTTTTTCCTAGGAGGGGAAGGGGTGGTTAGGAGAGCATTTGAACATTTTGAAAGGGTAAGAAGAGAGGAAAGTGAAAAGAAGAAAGCTTTAGGGGAAGGGGGAGAGGTTTGGAAGGAAGGAGAGGGGAGGGAGGATGGTTTAGTGGGCGAGCAATAGGGGAGGTGTAGTGAGAGAAGGTTGCAAGGTGGGGAAGGGGGTGTAACAGTGATGAAGTTGCTGAGTTGGAATGTCAAGGGTTTAAGGGACGAAAGAAGGATGGTGGCGTGCAATATTCTGAGACAAAACAGGCCAGATGTGGTATTGCTTCAGGAAACGAAGCTGGAGTCCTTTCATATTAGATTGAAAAATGAAATCTGGGACCATGACAATGGCGATTGGCTTGGTCTGRTTGCTGCTGGAGTGCATCTGAAAGAAAAGAAATATAAGGTGTTTTGAAGGCAAAGGGTTGGAGTTTGAGGAAGTTAGTGGCAGTCATCGGCAAAGTCTCTACAGATTGGGTGCTGGTGCATCCAGAATTCGCTCAAGTCAAGAAAGAGGACTTAGGGGAGAGGTTGTGAGACATTTTACGGTTACAAAGCTGTGATATTACAGCTTTTTTTGTTGATGTATTATGAGTTCTTATGTTTGCTTGTGGGTGTACTTGTTTTCTTTTAATGAAATTTTCTTTTATTATCAAAAAAAAGTACCAAACTATCTGTTCTGATGCTAGCTCAACAAGCCTGTGTTAACGATTTACATGCAATAGCAGAAAATGATCATTTGCATTAAGACAAGGAGCTGGAGTAAATTGAACCTACCTTGTTAGGAGAACTTACATTTAGCCAGACTATAGTCAGCGATGAACCTGGCTAGTATGTACTACAAGATGGAAGAACACAAACAACAACAGAATTCATCCTATCACAGAGATGGGCCTCAAAACAGATTAATTTGTAAATATCCTGTCTTCATTAAATAATGAAGCTTCCATATGAGTATCAGAAATTAAAATACAGTATAACAGATCAAACACTGACTTCTGTTTTACTCTTTGGAATGTAAACAGCTGGTCTTTCTAGCAAGCTGACTGTCTTTCAAACTTTTTACTAGTCTCAAACCATGCATCATGCACTTTGCTGATATGCCTGTGCAGTCAGAAAATATATTTCCTCAGAATGCAAAGAAATAAAAGAACAATGAATCTAGAAAGTTCTTAGTAGCATTGTGGCAAACAGAGGAAAGAATACATCAAATAAGAGAGTTTCTGTTCAACCTTTAATGGTAAGTGCACTCTCCTCGGTTGGATGGCTGCCCCCATTTTTAATACATTGATCACTTCCTTGGGGCCATTTGCAGTCACCAATTTTATAACACCCCTTCGTCAAGTGGATATTCAACAAGATTGCTTCAGCCTCTAGAAAAGAGGTTTATGGAAGATGCTACATGCACATTTCCACACCACTAAGAAATCTCCTCCATCCAGGAATGCAAGTCAGATTGTCCAGTTCAAAGAATTTCAACTGTATCTGGCTCAGGATTGGGTTAGGCCCATCAACAAATTTAACAAATTCCCAACCCAAGTTGCACCCCTACCTCCATCACAAACTAATGTCCCCTGGCCTGCTGCTATGCAATCAAAAGCCTAATCACAGTTACAACTTCCAACTTCCGTTTCTGAGAAACCAAAGAGAAAAAAGTTTGCAGCTGGACTCCCAATAGTTGGTCTACATGCATGAAACCTTGAGACTGGGATCAGGCATGACATTCCAATTCCTGCTCACAGATTCAATTGCAAAATATGGATTAGATTCAATCACTGTGAAGCTTGATCTACTTTCAGAATCAACAGCCTTAAAATTGTTCAGTCACTTCACCAAAGCATAAAAAGAATTAAAAAAACTATCAAGGTTGACAGCTATTTATAGGGCCTATAGGCTTAAAAAATTAAAAAAAAATAAATAAAAGGAGGTAGAAATAGGAGTAAACTTAGCTTTTGATAAATGGAAACTCTATATACAAAGTAGGATTCTAATGTATTTCACCTCCCAGCAGCAATAAGGATACAACAAATCAATTTCTATAGAGATTTTGAGCATCCCAAAGTTATTAAAACATATGAGAGGAGGAACCAATGGTTGCATCCAGATTAAGATGCTACAGTAGTTTCTAAATGTATAATTTCTATTTTTAAAGCAGCTGTTGTTTTCTTTAGGGTCATGTATTTTTTAGAAGAAATTCAATAAGTAGTTTCCTAGTTTATTTAGGAAACTATTAGTTTAAATTAGCTGCAATGTTGCTATTTTTCTATTTTCTGTTTCTACTCTTAGGAATTTCTAGGATCCTAATTAGGATTTAGCTGCAGTTTCAGTAATTGCCAAATTTCTATTTTAGTCAAAAGCTTTCAGTTAATGTATACACATAAATCTGTCCAAAACAGGAGAATTGAATTAGTTAACTTTTGTTCTCTACAGTTGGTCGTGTTCTCCACTTGATATTAATTTGGAGAGATGCATGATCTCATCTTCTCTGTTTTTCTAGTAGTTCTCTGCTACTGAAGATATCAAGTCACTATTCTCTGGATTTCCCCCTGGATTAAGAACATACTTCGTTGCATTTTGAGGAAATACCCATTGACTTTGCCTTCTTTCTACTGCCATTACATTAAATTCTAACTTTGAATCCTAGTCTAATTACAAATTAGAAGTGCTATAGGAACATCATGGACCTCTTCATTTGCAGTGTCTTAGATTGATTTGAGTTGATGAATGATTTTTTGTTAATGGACTATTTAACTGATTTTCCCCCTATAATCTTATCATTTTGATAAATACTTTTCCCGTATAACCTTGGCAACATTTTGGATGTAATTCTCTTCAGTTACACCTAATAATATTCTTCCCTTTTTTTTCTGAAGAGGTAAGGTAAAATTGTATTAATCAAAAAGAAAAGTATACATGAGTTCACTGTACAAAAACTTCTGTACATATGAACACCCTTACGAGCCCCCAAAAAAATTCACATTCACCACCACAAAAGAAGACAGATCTTCCTTGAAAAGCAAATTGGTACCCAGCCATCCTCTAAGGTCTTCTGGCAGCGGAATAGCATTCCACAGATTCCGCCCCTTCTTACGCATACCTCCAACTTTCCAGCTTTCGAGTAGGGACGTAACAGACTTAGGCATGCAATTAAGGTATGGGATAGCCTTGAAAAAATGTGACCAGATTCTAGCACAGAACTAACAGTGGATAAACAAGTGATTAGAAGTCTCTTCCTCCTTATAACACAAGACACATCTGGTATCTGGCAGCACCATTCCTTTTCTAATCAGCAAATCCTTCATGAGGCACTTCTCTTCAGTATCTTCCCAGACAAAGAACTTCACTTTTGAAGGGGCAATCCCACCCCAAACAGCTTGACTAGGGAAGGAACAAAGTGAAGCAGGCTCCAGGCCACTTTGGACCAAACCCAATATCGCTGATCTGGAACTTGTGGGTTTATTCTTATGCTTTGCAGCCTAGACAGCAGCTCTGAAACCTGAGGAATCTCCCTAACATTGAAAACTCTTCTAAATGAGGGAACCCAGTCAGGAGAATCACCAGAAACAACATAAGAATCAGCACAGAGCCTCTTTATCAGATGCCAACAGAAATAACTCTGGAAATACCTCCTTCAATGGAATACCAGGGCACCAATTATCTTTCCAGAATTTCAACCTGGTGCCAGCTCCAACCTTATATTTAATTCCTTACAAAAAATGAGGGTAAGCTCCGTAGATCCCATTTTGTACCCCACACCGATAAGAGAAAATTGAACAAGCTGCATCCTGTCATTAATCTGAAGACCATTTTTTTGTGCAATGACTCATCTCCATAATTCATTGGATTCCTTGAAGAACCCCCAAACCATGTGCCACAAAAGGCCAACTTAAAAGTTCTAAGTTTTCTAATTCCCAAGCCTCCACACTTGACTGAATTGCAAATCTGATCCCAGCTAACCAGATGATATTTAGTAGTCATTCCATCCAATCCAAAGGAAGTCTCTCGTAATTTTCTCAATCTTCAAGACTATCTCCAAGGGAATGGGGAAGAGAGACATAAAATAAACATAAATGCTAGTCAACACACTTTTTATCAGAGTCAGCTTACCTCCTTTCAAGAAGTATCTTGCCATCCAGGAGGCTAGTTTTATGGTCATTTTCTCCACCACAGGAGCCCAGATGCTTTTAGACGTACACTTCGCTCCTAAAGGCAATCCCAAGTATTTAGAGGGTAAGGCACCAGTCCTGCATCCCAAAAGATCTGTTAAAGCATGCAAATTTTCCACTTTCCCAACAGCCATCAAGAAATCCCAATTCACATGATCATAAGCTTTCTCTGGATTAAATTTGCATGCTAGGCCCATCTTGCCGCTTCTTCTAGAATCAATTAATTCATTAGCTATTAGGACACCATCTTGAATGTGCTTATAGTGAATAAAAGCACCTTATGAAATAGAGATAATAGAGCCCATCACCAATGTTAACCTTGAGGCCAAGAGCTTTGCAATGATTTTATACACACTTCCTAGTAAACTGCTCCAGCTGAATTGCTTCAGCTCAGAGTCCCCTTTCTTTTTGGGAATCAATGATATGAAAGTAGCATTAAGACCTCTATCTAAGGCTGCAGAAGAATGAAACTCATTCAGCAGCTTCATCAAGTCCTCTTTTACCAGCTCCCAAAACTTTTTGTAGAACAAAATGCAGAAACCATTTGGCCCTGGAGCTTTGTCCCCCTCCATTTTCCCTAGCACAAATTTGACTTCCTCCTCTGGAAAAGGCTTCTCTAATTCTGCTATCTATTCCTCTGATAATTCGACAACGTGTAAACCCATCTAGCCTTGATCTGATCCACAAGAGCTCAGAGTATAGATTTCTATAAAAATCAGTGACTGATTTCTCTATCTCATCCTCTTTCAATAAGGTTCCCATGCACATTCAACTTCTTTATTGTACTCGTAAACATGTACGTGCATTTAAACATGACAGTATCTCCAAGACAAAACTATTTACAATTCAATGACAGTTTTTGAATAGTTATAAGTGAAAGGATGAGAGATCCATCATATGGATGGCCAAACCCTACAGGAAGGTAGGGCGAAATTTCAAAAAATTTTTCTCTCTCTCCCATCTGGGAATCGCATTCCCTATTTTAGAAAATCTGCATTTTCAAAGATCAATCTTGAACCAAGAACCGAACCAGATCTGAAACCAAAAGGTAGGAGAGGGAGGTACCTAATACGAAGAAACAATATCTCCCAATGAAGGTGTTCACACCCAAGGAAAACTCCAAAGACTACTCCCACTGAAGATGACACAGCGTAGGGTGGAGTAGAATCAACAGGTTCTTCACAAGAACCGAATCCTTTAGCAAGAATTCGATGGAGGGTATGTGAGCACGACTTCAGATCAATTTTTCTCCAAAAACTGATCTCTTCTTGATCGCTCCTATACTGGAGAACGAACTGGCAATGGCGGCAGCAGGAGGAGGGTGCAAGAGCAGAAGATGGCATAGTCTTACTGTAGCTGTCTTCTCTCTTTCTATGATCTTGGATCTGATTGTCTTGAGATAAATGGAGGTTCGCCCTCCTCCTTTTATAGCCTTAAAAAGAGCTCCTAATCTCATTAGGAGTTTCCTAATCCAAATCTGTATTTGGATCAGGACTTCTCTTTAAGAGATAAGGATAAGCACTTATCTTATTTGTAGATTAGATCAACCCTCCTAATCTTATTAGGAGTTTCTAAATCCAAATCTGTATTTGGATCTGGACTCTCTGAGTGGATAGGGAGTTATCCCTATCCTATCTGTTAATCCAAATCCCAGATCCGCCCCCTTCTTTAACTAATCAAATTAGACCAGTTCGATTTGGGCTTTAGGCCCATTAAGTCCATTTGCTCACTAACCTTCCAGATTGTTGCCTAGTTGGGTTTCCTTGTATGGCGTGAGACCCAAACATTGATCTACACATTAACCACATGGGTTCAGCCTAGCCTCTGTTACAAGGCCTGGCCGAATTCACTGTTATGGACAGTGAACCCCTGAGCCCATCACCATGGAATCTTAATGGGCCCAACACTTACACTAAGTGGTCCCCGGGTCAAGTCACCTTATAAAAACCCAAGGACTGTGGGCAGATGCAAGATTAGCCCATCAGGTATTACCCTCAATGGTCTTACACTTAACCTCTCAGCCCATAATGATTAAACACTACCCGACAAG